GGTTGAATTAAAGAGATTAGTGGAAGATGAGGATGGAGAATTTGCCAGCAGCGGGAATTTATTTTAATTGTATTCTAAGTAGGATAGCTAAGGAACATTGGAGATTGGAATAGAAAAGTGTCAAAACAATATTTAGTTTTGAAAAATCAGTGCTGAGCCCTTGCTGGTGTAGCTCAGTGGATTGAGTGCAGGCCTGCAAACCAGAGGATCAGAGTTCGATTTCCAGTCAGGGCTCATGCCTGGGTTGCAGGCCAGTTCCCACCAGGGATGCATGAGAGTCAACCATACATTGGTATTTCTCTCCCTCTCTCCTTCCCTTCCCCTCTAAAGATAAATAAATAAAATCCTTTAAAAAAATCGGCGCTGAATGAGTTGAATGGGGGGTGAGGAGCAGGGGGATACTGAGGAACAGGAAACGATTTCAGTGGAGTAGGCATGGGAATATGTCATCATTTGAAGTTGTGAACATAATTGAAAACAGAGCTACCAAGGCTTTTGTATGCTTTGGAATGTGAAAAAATAGAGGAGCCGTGACTTGTCAATTTTTTTCTTTGCCTGAGTCTAAGTGAATTATGGTGCATTTTATTAATATAAGGAGTACAGAGTATGGTGTTTTAGGAGTACGGTGAATTACAGCTTGTTTTTTTAGGTAGGAATGGATTGAACTGGGACAGGATTTTAATTGTTCCTTAATTATAATATGACTGTGCGGGGTGTCCTACAACTTCCTGGGCAAAGTAATCAAAGGTATTTCTGGCCAGGCACTATCTAACATAAATCATAGTGCTTTATACCATGTTTGGAATATGAATATGTACATGTATGCACAAAGACACAAATATCAAGGCAATCTCTCACTGGACCTTCTGTGATGGGTCATCAATCATTTACCCCTAAGATCCATATGGAGAGAGAAAGTCTTAAATGCCATAGTTATCTGTGATTTAATTCTTCAAAAGTGACAAATCAAAATAAATATCAATGATCAAAATATTTAGATGGTTATCTGTACTTGACCAGTGTATTGCTGACTCTGACATTTCCTAGTTTTAGAATGAATTGGTGTTCTTATACGTTTTAAAAGGGAATTGATGACTTGTTTTTTAACCATAATGACTATAACCACTGAGACTACTTTTAAGCTTATGATAACCAATAATAACTTTTTGTGAGTCATTGTGACACAGTATCAATCAGTGGCAACCCTAAGTTTCTGAAAGGCTCCCATTACTTGATCTCTTGCTTCTTATAGTCCTGTTGAAGACAAACAGTATGCTGTGCCATGATAGACAACATCCTACAACAGATAACGTCTTTCCTTGGCAAATAATAAACTCAAGGTTTTGTATCTGATACTGAATGGTAGCCTCTTTCTGTGATAACTGAAGCTTCCATCGAGATTATTTTGAAGACTATCATTTGAAAGCATTCTATTAAAACTTTGATATTCAGGCCTTATCACTCAGTAGTTTGCCCCAAATTCTTTTTTTTTACAGACAGATAAATAATTCAATAGCAATCTCAGTTCTGAATTATTTATTTAATTGAGCCATCTTTATTAAATTTATTTTGTTAGTTTAAGATTTTTAAACAAATAGTCCTTGTCCTTGAGAGAGGACAAAACAAACAGTCATTGAATTACATAGAAAACTTCAGGTACCATTTCCTTAAGAATAAGTTGGAAAAGATTTAAAGTTGTGGGAGAAAAAATTAATTAAAAGAGAATTAAAAATATTTAAAAAAGAGAATCTAAGAAAACTTCCAACAATACTCTAGGAGAAATTCACTAAACAAATTAAGGGAGTATTGCTCTTTCACTTTTTTTTGTTTTTTATAAGTGGGCTCTCATCTGAAGCAAAGTTGGTTGGAAAATTAAGTTCAAGCGGGTGGTGTTTCCTAAATGAGATCTTCCCTTAAGTTGCTAAATATTTTCAATAAGTGCAAGTATGAAAATCAAAATAAATTCCTGACACTTCAGATAAAATTATTTTTTCCTGAAAAAAAAACAAGATTGATAATTTATTTTCTGCCTATAAAGATCTGAAAATATTTGTTTTTAAACACTTACAGAAATTAAAAGCAGATACCTGTAGTGATTATAAGCATACAAGTAAGTGGAAAGAAAACCTTAATGTTCACTATCGATTAAGGAACAGGAGAACATATAGTAAACATTCATAAAATGATGTCACACTGAGGCACATCTTAGCATCTAAAAGTTTCATATCCTTCCTCTGAATTCCCAAAGAAAATCTTTCTTAAATATAGATGCACAAAATACAGCTCTCTTATTTACATTGGTGTTATTATAGCTAACCAATACTCTTATTGGTACCATATCCCTTGAAGTGATAAAACCACTCATAAAGTGGTCACATTTGCCAATACTAAGTTCTCTCACATGTTCCTAGCTAATTAATTGAGACCATTATTTTTAAAAATACTCTCTTATTCTCTGTGACACAATCTTTGTAAGTTTAATAGTAAATTAATTTACAAATGAAACTGCCAGATAAGTTGTCCTACATGAAGTCTATTACTACAAGTCCAAATTTATTTCTATCCCTATAAATTTGAATGTATCCTGGCATTAATTTGCAAACATTATTAATGTCTCATGAAATAACCTAATAATTCAATATAATTGCAGAACCTCTATTGGCAAAGATCCCATTATTATAACCATAATATTTGGAGCAGTGCTTCTTTCAGATTAACTCCTCCCCAGTTATACCAATATATTTTATACATTTGAACATTTCAATCATACTTTACGGACATTAGATCAACAACATTGCACACCTCAAAGATATATTGCTTATTATAGCTTATCTGTTTATTCAAGAGCCAAAATATATTGTACATACCTCAGAATAGTTGCTTATTTGGACAAATTAAGAAAAAATCTGCCTATATTGTACAGTCATTCATACATGTAGTCATATCACATCTACTCTTATTAAATAAAAACATCTGAAATTTTTCACTTTGAGCAGATCACCGTGTTGAAGAGATTGCTTTGACAAAAACGTTTATGAAAGCACATCTTGCACAAGAGCAAAAACAAATCCAGAGGGAAATTCAAATATTCTAGCATAGATGCATAGAATCTGTCCACAATTCTAGAAGAAAATCCTGGAAATTTTCAACTTGCAAAATCCATGGGGATAGCATCTCCAGAATAGCATTAAATAATTTCATGGATATTTTCTGAATTTATCATAAGATCACCTTAAGCAATAGAAATATATTTGATATAATATTAAACAAACCATGAGTAAGGAATTTTTTCTAGGTTAGCAGCTGATATAGCCAATTTATGCATCATTCTATGCAGTATAATTCTGAAAATAATGGACAAAGTGGAACTTGGAAATTGCCAATGGGTCACTTTCAGTACATCCAAAAGGATTTTATGCAATTGCTTCCTCGATGTGTTATGAGCAAGAATGTGCAATGTTGATGTTTTGGGTTTGTGGATATGTTGAAGCACTCTCACCTAAATAATATAATATAGTTCCTATGATGTTTATTTTTTTATGTAAAGGATATTTAAAAGTTGACCATCAGTAAAAACTTTGGATAGGCTTTTGGTGAATATTTTTCTCCATCAATAGTCATGAGCATAAATATGTGAAATGAATTATTGACAAATGTTAATAATTTATACTTTTGTATTAGTAAATGGAAGAACAAATACCATTAACAACTGGGTAAAAGATAATTTCAAGATCATAGATTAGGTCAGGGGGAACCTGTGCATACTTCTAAATTTTCCCTATTGAATAGGAATTTTTAAGATTAAAAAAAGCAATTATACCTTGTATTATTTACCTAATTATAGGAGGAGGGAATAGAAAAGATGAAAAAGATAGTGACTAAGTTTGAATTAACAGAAAAAAAGAATATTCTTAACAATCTAGGGAGTAGAGGGATTGAGCAAAAAGAAAACAAGGACTAATGGACATGGACAACAGTGTAGTGATTGCTGTGGGGAGGAGAGTATAAGGGGACTAAATAGTACGAAAGAAAATACAATAAAAATTAAATAAAAAGTAAATAAAATGTTCAGGTTAAAAAATAATGTTCTGGTGTTTGTGGGGGCGACTTAACATGCAAGTCCCCCCGAGTGCCACAGACGAGAGTAAACATGACTGAGACATGATGTGATCTGCTTAGGGAGGAGAGGTGGTCAGTTTCCCAGAGGAAAAAGGCCTTGAGCAGTGGCCAGTTTCTCAGGGGAAAAAGGTGTTGAGCCCCATCCTCCAAGGGCTTTTACTGCAAGGGCTTTTACTGCAATGTAATACACAGGAATATAGGTTGGCAAGGATCAAACAGTAAATAACATTTCAAAGAAATCTGAGGGCTTAATCCAAGTCAGAGTCTGTCAGGAAGAGTTTTAGGGTTTCCTACTGGAACCCTTCCTTAACATATGAATGAAAGCACTCTTAGCAGAGCAGATTTCACAGGTTTACCAGCAAGTCTTTGTGATGCCAGATTTTTCCTCAGGGCATGCTCTAGCAAGACAAAGAGCTGCACCCCTCCCCATCAGGTATTCAGGCTTAAGGGGATTAGAGCCAGGAAGTGCTTCTCCCAGAGGACGTGGGGACTCGGGCTTTGTCAAAGTGGGGGTGGGGGGGAGGTGGGGGGGTGGGTTGAGAGTCCATTGCTCTTTGTTACAACCCCCACCCCAGTCCTTCTATGATGGCCTCCCAAGTGATTGTGTCTGGCCTAGGTCGCCCCTCCTCTGAGTGGTCTTACCTGTCAAGGACTTCCAGCCATGCTTTGGGGGCAGGGAGGAAACTGAGGCAGCATTTGCTACCAGAGACAAGCTTTGTCTCCTGTGGCTTGCATTCCAGAGGTCCCTGACTCATCCTTAGCCACAAGGGGTAGAGTTACAATTTCTGAAACCAGGCAGAGTGGTCCAGAACAGGTGTTTAATTTATTAGATAAACTACTACTTGGGAGGAGCTAAATGAAGGTAAAAAAGGCAATGTAATGCATGGGCTTGGATTTCTGGCAGGCCCGCCCCCCCGGGGTCTCTCATAGTGCCCCACGCCAAAGCATCCTGGCCTGGAACCATGGCCCGGCCTCTGCCCCTGGGCTGCAGGCACTGAAGCAGACTGCACAGTGGGGAAAAAAAATAAGGCAATGTAATTTCCTTCCCTTTAAGTCTTGTGTTTGTCTTTTCACATATATTCAATTTATTTGTTTCATCTTACCATTTGGATTTGACAGACAACTAATCCTATATTTTGCCCACCTGCTTATCATAGAAAATCTGAGAACCTAACTTGATCTACTGAAACTTAGCTGATCCATGGAGAAAACAAAAATATGGCTACTCTATTATTGCTCACAGACCTTTGCTATGGCCAGACAAAAGTATAAATCTGTATTTTAGAAAAAAAAAATTCATATTGTGGAAATGTTCCAAGTGATAAATGTGTTATATGACACAAAATATAGAAAATCTATGTTTAGTAAATATTGAATGTTTAAATGATATGTGTGTGTAGGCCCAGAAAACATAACTAATAAAAATATCAGAATTTAATATTCAAAATCCCTGGGACAAAATGACATAGTTGTTTTACTGCATTATATTACACATTCCTGTGACTTAAAGTTCCTTTATACCCACCACATGTTGTTCTTACAAGTAAAAATATGTAAATAAATGTTTTTATTTTAACTATGAAATTTTAATAGTTATTCTGAGTTATTTTTGGTTTATAAATTATGACATTTCTTATTTTAACATTAATTAAATTAATCATAAAATAGTTCATATTTTACTGCATTCCACATAAAAAGAATTCTCATATCTAACAACTGGTTGTTTCATAGTTGAAAACAAAACAGAGAAATATATATTCAGTTTTCCTGCCACTTAAATACTAAAAGAACAAGGTGGAATATATTATTGTCTCCTGGTCAGCCAAAATTTAAGCATACTGTTTAAAAGTTTTATTTTACTTATTTGTTGTTGAATGGGAGTATTTTTTAGTGAAGGTTTTTAAACTTCATAAATTTTAAATTGAAGAAATCTTACCAGAGTGAACATTCTCTTGTCGGGAAAATATTAAAACAGGGGAATAACCGGTGATGGAAAGAGACTTATCCTGGGGTGGTGAACACACAATACAATATACAGATATGAATGGAGGTGATTAATATGCAATGAGAGCATTTGTGTAGCTGAATCAGCATGAGGGTGTGTGGGCACAAGTGTGATAGTGGCCGTGAGCATTCAGCTGCTTTCGCTCCACTGTTCTGTAAAACTTAACTCTATGGCTAAGTATGGAAAATGCTCCCTCTTAAAGATCTGCAGGATATAGTAATATACAAGACAGTCTTATTAAATAAATTTGTTTTAAGTTTCAATCCAAAGTTAAAGGATATTTGTATTCAGCAACACCTATCGTCATTCTACTGAAGTGGAAAGAACTCCACTTTGGTAAGCACGTGAATATAAGTAGAACATTAAATCCATTAGCTGCAAAATGTTATCTTCAAATATTCTGTTCTGAACAATTTTGCTGAATCAAGATAAAAAACTCGGTATAGATATGCGAATACATGATATCCTTTCAAAGAATAGCAAATATACAGGCATACCTTATTTTACTGCATTTTACCTTAGCTCTTCAGAGGTTTCTTTCCTTTTCTATCTCCTTTTTTTCCCACTAATTGAAGGCAAGACTCTCCAAAAGCAGACAGATTACACCTTGCCTTCAACTTTGCTGTGACCCTTCTCTAAAAAATAATGCCACAAATATCTGATAGTAATTGTTTCCCTATTTTCAGGATTAATAATATGGGAATGAATACAATAATGATCACCTATCTTTACACTCTCCAAGCACTAATTAATACTGTGCATTACTAAAAAGTGTAAGGTTAAAAAGCAAAACTTTTCATTACTACTATGTGTTACTTTAGCTTTGAATAAACACATTTATAAAAGTAAATTAATGAAATTATTAAAATTTGGAAATATTTTTCCCAGGAAGTCCATTTGTATCCACTTTCAGTTTTTGATATTATTATAGTATAACCTTAATAATTATTGAGTAATAGGAATCACTCATTTATATTTATCTCACAGAGATAGTTAAGTATAAAATTAAAAGTTATTTTGTGAATTATTTTTGTAAAGTATGTGGTACTATATTTACCGACTCCTAATGGAAATTATGAAAGACATGGGATAGTCATTTGAGTTTGAGTGAAAATTAGAATTTTTCCAACAGAGAAAAATAGAGTTTGTTTTAAGTTTGTATAAGGATAGACTATATATATATATATATATATATATATATATATATATGAATATTAGGTAGAACTATAATTAATAGCATGTGGAGTAACAGCATATGGACATCTAACAACTCTAAAACCTTTTGATTCATGGAGACACAGTGAGTTAAACTCTAATTTTTAAAATACTTTATTTATATTTTATAAAGAGGGGAAGGGAGGGAGAGAAACATCTCTGTGTGAGAGAAACATGTCCCCAACCAGGGACCTGCCCTGCAACCCAGTTATGTGTCCTGCCCAGGAATGAAAGGAATCAAATCAGTGACTCTTCAGTGAGTCTGCAGGTTGCATTCACAACCCACTGAGCCACACCAGCCAGGGCTTAAAATATAATTTTGTATAGCTTAGATATATGAAGAGTGTGCTGGTACATACTGCATTATTCAAGCAAAGCAATGTTTTTTGTCATTTGCCTCTAGACTGTGACATTGAGATCTGGAATGTAAAGCATGTCCTTAAACTTTTTAGATCAGTTATCTTATTACTGATTTGTTTTCCACAGCAAAGTATAAACTCACCAAAAAATGTCTATGTGTATAATTTTATATATATATATATATATATATATATATATACATATGCATACACACACACATATATACTCAACTCCCTGTCATGTAAGATGGAGTGTGATGTCTTATTCAAAGATACCTAGAAATTATCAAAAACAAATTGCTTCTTGGGTCTTCCAGAGAATTAAGAAAATAATAAGTTCCCTCTATTGGTTCAGCCTAAGTCCTCACGGCATAGTATTCTAGTCAAACCTTGGAATGACTCCACTAATTTTATGATAATATGAGCCTCAAGGAAGTGCCACTTTAGTAGGAGAGCAAACAAGACAGCCTAGCCTCCAGAAAGACAGCATTCTCTGATACTGGGCTATAGCTGGGGACTTTAACCCTTCCTGAATTAGTCACTGTCCAAATCGAGACTACACTATTAAGTTCAATAGCATTTTAAGCCAAGGGTTTAGGGCCAATTAAGAAATTATAACCCAAGTTATATCTGGTTTTTTCTTGCTTATAGTTTAAACATACTTTTAAAATGGTTATAATAGAGCACTTCTAATCACAACAATAAAAAATCAAGACTCTGAAGTCATTAATTTTTGTTATATATTTTGTTTATGGATTTCCTACATATACTTCATGAATGAGTCTTTAAAGATTTAATGTAACTAACATATTTGAATATTATTCTACACATGATACTTTGTTCTATAGTAACTATTTTTTTTCTTTTTCTTTCCTTGTAATTTCTTACCAAAAAACCATAGCACATGTGCTTTGGATACATACACACTCCACTTCTGCAACAGGCACACAACACAATGCAGTTCTGAAGGTGTGTGGGAATAGAGTATGCTGGAGCAGGAGATTGGCTGAAAGTAATAATTGGGGCAAAGCTGTTGAAACTTTGTGCAGGGATGAAGTGCGTTGAAACTGTATAGGGACAACCTCCTATTGCTTGAGAGAATGCGATAGCTTATGAAAAAGGAAATAAAAACTGTGAAACATATTTGATGATGACTTTCAGCTCAGTTTGGGACTTTTGCAAGTGCTATCAGAGAGACAGAATTCTTTAAAAAGTCAGGTAGAATTAACAGCACACTTCCAGCACACTAATCAAGGATCTAGCTCAGACTTTTTGAGTAGATTTTATTATATCAACACTTCAGATGCAGACATATTGATAAGGTTATGTACCAATATAGCAATATTTGAAGTGTGGGCATTGCTGGCAATATCTTACAAATTCACAGGGCAAAAATGTCTTACATAGAGGAATGTTGAAAAGGTAGGTGTAAAATTTTAGGCATTAAACTCAAGTTTTCTTCCTTAAACCATTAATTAGTGACAGACAGAGACACATTCTCTGATGTTCACACTCTATATTTGGGAATTATTGTCTCTTAATAGGTACGAGTCCAATGATTATGCATTGAAATCAGGATGGGATTCATTTACTGGTAGAAGACTGCTACAACTTTTTAAAATTAAGTGTATTAGGGTAACATCAATTAATATGACTATATAGTTTTCAAGCGTACAGCTCTAGGATACATGATCTGTATACTGTGTGTTCCCACAGCTTTAAGTCAAATCATCTTCCATCACCATATATTTGACCTCAAGTGTTGCGACTGTTCACACTGAGAAGATTCACTCAGGATTCAGGCAGATAGAAGAATATACCTGGAGCCGTGGGGATATCTTACAGCCCTTCATTCTGGGATGGAGCAATTCACACAGGCTGCAGGCTGCCTGTCCGCACATGTTCCCATATGTCATACAGCAGGTCGCCTGTCCCCCTGCATGTCTCTGCATGTCACCTGTCTAACAACAGGAGGCCTCTAACTCCCTTATACAAGAAATGCAAACAAAACCCAGCAGGGAGCCAGAATATTGTGTAACACAGCATCATTCTGTGCATATGAGCCCACTCAAGGCTATGAGAACGTTTACTAGACTCATTTTCAAGGCTATAAGAACACAGCTTATCTTAGTTCCCCAGACATCTGACCACACACCGGAGTGAGGGAGCCAGATTGCCTCTGTTTACCCTACCCTCCTTTATCCTTTAGTGTCCTCCTATTCTCTTCCCTCTGGTAACCACTATGCTTTCATCTATGTCTATGAGTTTCTGCTTTTCTTATTTGTTCACTTGTTTCACATCCCACATATAAGTGAAATATGGTTCTTGGCTTTTCTGTCTCATTTATTAATTAGCATGACGATATTCTCAAGATTCAGCCATGATGTTGCAAATGGCAGCATTTCCTCTTTTCTTGGGGCTGATTAGTATTTCAT